GGCTCCAGCTGGGCGGGGGTCACCAGCCCCCCCAGGAAGGAGCTCTCCAGGAACCCCCTCTCGGCTCGGGGGTCGAAGCGGGCCCGGGGGTGGGCGAGCAGCAGCCGCAGCCCCACGGCAAACCCGGCCATGTCCAGGGGGAAGGGGCGCTCGGGCCGCCAGCCCGTGTGGAAACCAACGACGCGACCCCCGACCACGAGCGGCCGCTCCAAGCGCAGCCCCCCCACCAACCCCACGGGCCACACTGAGACACCGCGGGTGCTGCGCATCTGGGGGGAAAATGGGGAAAAATGGGATTTATAGGGGATTTATAGGGGATTTATAGGGGATTTATAGGGGATTTATAATGTAATTCCAGCCCCACGGGCCACACTGAAACACCGCGGGTGCTGCGCATCTGGGGGGAAAAATGGGGGAAAAAACAGGGAAAAATGGGAGGAAATAGGGGAAGAAACAGGGAAAAATGGGGTTTATAGGGGTTTATATGGGATTTATAAGGGAATTCCAGCCCCCCCACCAACACACCGTGGGTGCTGCACATCTGGGGGGGAAAGAACGGGGGGAATGGGGTTTTATAAGGGATTGATATGGGATTTATGTGGGATTTCTAATGGATTTTTAGGGCATTTCCAGACCCCTGGCCAGACTAAGAGCCCTGTGGGTGCTGCACGTGTTGGAGGGGGGAACCCAGGGGGATCAGAGGGGATTTGGGGAGGTTGAGGTGACTTTGGAGGGGATTTGGGGAGGCTGAAGTGAATTTGGGGAGGCTGAGGTGACTTTGGAGGGGATTTGGGGTCACTGGGGTTCAGGCGAGTTTGGGATTTTTTCAGGTCGGATTTTTTGGGGTTCTTTTCGGGATTTTTTTTAGGATTTCTGGTATTCCCAAGCCCTCACCTCCTTGAAGGTGAAAGAACTGAAGGAGATTTAAATAATTTTGGGGGGGATTTGGGTGAGTTCAGGTTAGATCAGACCGGGTCACCAGGGCTCAGGTGAGTTTGGGCTTTTCCAGGTGGGATTTTTTTTTTGGATTTTCGGGTTTTTTCCTGGGATTTTCGGCATTCCCGAGCCCTCACCTCCTCGAAGAGCCGCAGGCTGTAGGTGTTGTCATCGTCAGCGAAATAAACCACGCCGGGCTCGTCCCTGCGCCGCGTGTCCCGCAGCCAGCGCAGGGCTCGGTTCCGCTGCTCCGCCCCCCTCGGGAACAGCCACGACGGGGCCCCGGGACCCCCCCGCAGATCGGGGGGGGTCTCGGCGTTCAGGTGAGTGAAGGAGACCCCCGAAGATGCCAGGACCCCCCCGACCAGAGCCGAGGGGGCGGCGGCGTCCTCGACCACCACCCAGTGCAGGGCGGGGACGTGGAGCAGCGTCTGCGAGAGGCGCACGAGTTCCGCCTTCTGCACCGGCCTGGGGGGCGAGAAATGGGGCTGGGGGCGGCCTGGGGGTCCCAGGGGATCCCAGGGGGTCCGGGGGCATCGGGGGAAGGGGATCAGGTCGGGTTAAGGGGGGGTAAATGGGGCTGGGGGTTGTAGCAGATCTGCATTCTGCAATGGGCTGGGGAGGAATGGGGGGGGTTTAAATGGGTCTGGGGGCTGGGTGAGATTTGGGGAGGGGTCTCACCTGGCGTACGTCGGGGTCACCACGTAGATCGGGGGCAGCGCCGCCCCCTCCCCCCCCGGGGCCCCCCCGGAGCGGCCCCGGCGCCGCTCGGTCTCGGG